CCACGTCACCTTCCGCGTCACACCGCACTCGTTGCCGACCTTTCTTGTGTCTGTCCACGCCATATTCCTCGCGGGTCGCTTTATCGTCCACCTATCACGTCGACCTGCTCGCGTGGTCATCCGCCTGTGCGCGTCGACCTGCTTGCGTATTCTTCCGTTGGCGACGGGTTCATCCGGTGAGTTGGCACGTGTCCGTTTCGATTCGATCGCTCTTCACTCCGTGTGTCTGTGTGTGCGGGTGTGTTTATGTAGACTGAACGAGTGTGTGCATGTGCATRTGCGCGTCTCCATGCGGAAGGTTTTTGTTCGCGGATGCATGACGTGGCATGTATGCAATGCGCGTGTCCTACAGGTGCGACCTGCTCCCCACCACCTGTCTTGTGAACGAGTGTGTGCATTTGCAATGCGCGCGTCTCCAGCGGAGTGGCCGTGTGCACATGTGCTCAAGTGCGCACGTGTGTCGTCCTTGCATAGATTCATCTTGCGCAGCCGATCAACCGTGCAGGCTGAAGATTCACTCCAATCTTTTTGAAGATTCATTCCGATCTGGGTGATGACTTCGGACCAAGGGTTACCCCAAGGAAATCGTCTGCGACCGCGACACTCGGTTCATGTCCGATTTTTGGTTGGTGCTCATCAAACGATGGGGCTCATCTCTTAAGTCGAGTTCGGCTCGCCACCCCCAAACCGATGGCCAAACGGAAAGGGCGCATCACACCGCACAGGTTCTCCTTCGCACTCTCATCCATCCCGACCAAAAGGATTGGGTTGAGCGGCTGCTGGATGTCGAGTTAGCATACAACTCATCTATCCATCCGGCCATCAGGATGTCGCCCTTCGAGTTTGAGCAAGCCTCGTCGGTCACTTCTCTGTTGGACACAATCATTCCACGAGCAACGGAGAGTGACGACCATCTTCTCTTCTTGCGTCTGATGCAAGAGCTACTTGTCAAGGCACGCAACCAGATGACAAAGACACAGCAACGCAGGAGCCAACAGGCCAATCGCTAGCGTCTTCCTTCTCCATTCCGCGCCGGCGACCTCATGTGGGTTTCCGCGGCAGAATTCAGCCTCGAACAAGATATCTCTCGCAAGATCCTCCCGAAATGGATGCGGCCCGAGCCGATCGTGGCACCCGTCGGGGATGCACCCGAAGGACCTTTCTTTGTCATTCAGGTGCCCCCCCACTTGCCCATCTACCCGGTCTTCCACTGCTCCAAGTTGGCTCTTTACACGCCAGCGGAACATGATGACTTTCCCGGGCGACGATCGCAAGACCCACCCTCTATGGACAGTTTTCAAGAGGTTGGCGACATCATCTCCCAGCGACGCTACGGCAACCGGCCGACCGAATACTTGGTTCACTTTGCGTACTACACCCACAAAGCTGACCGTTGGTTGACCTGTGCGGAACTCCAAGCAACAACTCCAGATGTTCTCGCACGCTACGAATGCAAGATGCAAGGCAAGCCGGTATCTTCGGCTCCACGTCGCACCCGCGTCCAGGTTCCACCTTCAGATCGCCAGCTTCACCCTCAACCCGGCTTGACTTCATAAGGAGTGGGGGGTGTTACATGCTGTGCCTGCACACGGGCCCCATTTTCAGGGGCCCGACGGGTTTTGAGGGTCCCCCAGGCCTCATGCCATCAGACATGCGCCCTTGAGGCCCACGGCGGCGCCCAGGCCGCAGATTTCAAATATAGGCGGTAGTGGTTATTTATTTATTTATTTACTTACCTGTTGTCCTATTATTTGTCTGTGCAGACGTCGTTTCGGACTTGCAGGCCCCAAGGCAACGCCTTGGGCCAGGTACAGAGGGATGAGGCCCTTCCAAAACCAGGCGTGTTTTGGCGCTTGACTACAACGGTACCAACGTCGTTTCGAACTGCAGGCACCAAGGCAGCGCCTTGGGCCAGGTACACAGGAACGAGGCCGGACCAAGGCCAGGCATGTTTTTGCGCCTGCTGCATCAGCAGCACAGTCTGTACACCCGGTAGGGGCCCAGACCGGCTGGGCCGTTTGAGGCCAGCACCAGGCAGACCCAGCCTCGCCCAACGCTATATATATAGCTGGGCAGCGACTAGGTACACACAGTTCGGCTGCTCACTTCTTGAGTGACACACCGCTGGTTGGAGGCTGCACTATCCTAGCGCTACGCTGCGAAGCTGGGAGTAGATGTGTAGCAGGTCGAGAGAGAGGCGGAGGCCTACTTGTAGCGGGGAACGTACCTGGCGCCATAGCTGGGGACTCCGCGCGGTACCTGCACAGAGCGACCACAACAGTCAGTACGGTGGCAGCTACCTCCAGGTGAGACAGCGAGGAGGACGACATTCTTCTTCCTCCTCGTCCTCCATCTCCCCTCTCTCTCTCTTCTCCTTCCTCCTCCCTCCTCCATTATCTTCTTCTTCTTCTTCTTCTTCTTCTTCTTCTTTTTCTTCTTCTTCTTCTTCAGATAAGAGAGAGAGAGAGAGAGAGAGAGAGAGAGAGAGAGAGAGAGAGAGAGAGAGAGAGAGAGA